CTCACTTAGAGAGGGAGCAGCAACTCTGGCAGGGCAGGAGATCTGATTTGTCTCTGCTGCAGTTCAGTAACACTTAAGCTACATTCACACCTACACTTGAGGCGCATTTTGGGATTCCTGCATCAGTAACTTGCAATTTCCTGCAGCAGGAGTCCCAAATCCCATTGATCATGCATTCAGGAATATTAATTTATTTCTAACTGCACGTAATCTGTATCAATCACATTGATCGTGCGTCCAGGGATAGTGATCTATTCCTAACCACATGTAATCTGTATCACATACAATTACATGCTGTGTGCCAGAGTTCTGCTGCTTTCAGATGCGACCGCTGTCCCCCGATCGTTGGCTTGAATGGGTGACAGCTGCCGCTTGTAAGCGCCAGATTTAGGATTCCTGCTGCAGGAGATTGCAAGCGCCTGATGCAGGAATGCTTAAACACAGCTACATTGTAAGTGTGAATGTAGCTTTACAGGTCTCCTTCCCAAACCCTGTGACTGGACAGTGAAAGGAGAAGCAGCAGACTGATGAACATGTCTCTGTGTGAATCTTCTCTTAACTCCTATCAGCAAGAGCCTTGTTAGCACAAAGAGACTGTTAGTTATGCTGCAGCGCTCATGTAATTGCAAGGAACATTTTGATAGGAGAGAGTAATGGACATGAGTTCATTAGCCTGCTGCTTTTCCTTTCACTGTCCAGTCACAGGGCCTGGGTAGAACATAAATAAGGGTCACTGAACTGCAACAGAGGAAGATCAGATCTCCTGCCCTGCCAGATAGAGCTGCTTCTCTCTTTTAAGATCGGAGCTCTGCTGTACAGACACTGCAAGAGGCTGATACCAAGTCAAATTCAAGTACTTAAACTGCTTGAATTAAAAAAAAAGAATTGATGTATTAATGAAAACAAAGCTGCATTAATGTGTCTTTTTATCTGCTTTGAGTTCAGTTTTAATGTTCCATTCTGACTGTACCTTTGACAAGTCATTACTATCTCTTGTCACTCAACTCTGCGAGGACACGTAACTGCTAAATGCTGACACATAACGCTGTCAAAGACAATGCCATGGCTAGCAGGTCTCACCCCTGCACAATGACTCCTACTACCGTAGTTGCAACCGAAGCAAGGAGCTTAAATACTCATCTTGATCCCGAGGTGTAGGCAAATAGTGGGACGGAGTATGAAAATATGTTACCAATGATAAAGTAAAATGCAGGTCACAGAGGGGAGGATGGACCAGTGAGCAGAGAAATGTGACATGACCCAGGTAACAGATGACTGAGAAATAGGGCAGACTTCCCTGAATGGGGAGTTATAATTACTGAGGACATTAAGCATCAGAAGCCTGGCAGAGCAAGAGAGCACATTCCATAGTTAATGTGCATCACAAGACCTCAGGAGATATCCTCACTAGGGTCATATTAAAGGTTACGCCGCTCTAGTCAAACATGAATGATGGAACCCTTCCTGTAGGCCCAACCCTTCTGTTACTAATCATGTTATATAATTTCCATCCAGAAAATAAATCCAAGACATGGTTTTTAAGCCAGCACGCTGTCTTCTTTCTATGTCATGCTTACACTTAGGCTGTACAGTCACAGCAGTGAAAGCAAAAGAGAAGGTTACATATTAGTTAAGTTACGGGGAGTCTTGTGGCTACTGTCAGTAGCCCGAATTAAATGCTTTAGATAATCCCCTCCTTGCCGAATCCCCTCCTTGCTGTTCTGCTGATAGATATATCAAGAGTTGGCCTAACAATGCAACATTTATTTATTACAGGTATGTATATAGCGCTGACAATTTATGCAGCGCTTTACATATTGCATGTTCACATCAGTCCCTGCCCTCAAAGAGCCAATTAAGTATTAGACAGGAGCCAATAACCCTACAGCATGTCTTTGGAGTGTGGAAGGAAATCGGAGTACCCGGAGGAAACCCACACAAGCAAAAGGAGAAAATGCAAACTCTGTGCAAATAGTGAACTGATCGGGAATTGAACCAGGGACCCCCAGTGCAAGGTACAAATGCTTTACTTTGTTTATGGGTAATGCACGTGCACAGATGCCTGCCTAGTTTCTCTTGATGTAATAGCTGGAAAATCATGGTGGTTCTTCCTGGCTGATCACAACAGCAGCCCCAGGATAAGTCTGGCTTTGGTGGAATGTGCTTCGTGCACAATTGCAATATCTATATACCTAAAAACATCATATACTAAAACGGTTGTCACAATGACAGCACCAATTAAAAACAAAAGAGCCCGGTTGGCATACATTTAATAATTTTTAAAGTCAATGAAAAGCTGGATTAAAATATGTTTTTCATGCATGTCTGTGGTTTGGGTACAAGATGAACATAAGCAGTTTTCTCATCAATAATGGTGAGAAATTAAAAATCTGCCTATCATAGTGGATATTGCTAAATCTACCCCAACTTTTAAAAATGACTTAAGGTCCATCAATGCTTAAGCGTTCCATTCATTATAAATAGGCTGCCCACAGACCACATTGGACCAAAACAAATACCTTTTTTTTTTGGTGCAAGGCATACAGCAATACATGTGCATCCTAGTGAGCTGGTCACAACGAGTATGGGTGCCATTGACAGTGAATGACACTACAACACACGTCACTAAAATGGATTGGTTTAACACACGTTGCAGTATCGCCTGTTAAAATGTGTGTTTTATTGCACCACACACAAGTCTAAATGGGGCCTTGGGCAGCTGTGAAATCATTTTCTATGTTTGGGATTTTTTATATTTTCCTGTCAACACCATTATTACCGATTACTATCCTTTAAGTGACACTAAACTTGGGAGTTTAATTTAAAAATACATTCAACTACCTTCACTATTAACAAATACATCTTATTTGTGTATCACTCGGCTGTAGATCCTCAAATCATCTCTGAATTGGTGCCGACACTGTCCTTCCTTCTGGAGGGTGGTTCTGTGGTCCCTGTGTGTTGTAAAGTAGTCACTCCTGTGATGGACTACAATCTCATGTTTAGTTTACTAATTTGTATTGGGATTGTAGCCCATCATGGGAGCAAGCTTGGAGCGGTGACTACTTTACAACACACAGGGACCACAGAACCACCCTCCAGAAGGAAGGACAGTGTCGGCATAATACCCCCCCCCCGCTGCTTTAAGGACTTACCTTAAATGATGCCTCTTGATCCAATCATCTTCTTCCTTCCACTTGTATTCAGCAATCCCTCATGCTCTGGTGCCAGTCGTTGATCCAGCACAGACTCCTCAGTGTCTGTCCGATGTGCATGCTCACAGCTACGTACAGTTACCTCCCCCATGTTTCTCCTTTTCTCCCCGCCGATGACCTCTACTCTGCATGTTCCCGGTCTCACCCTCCTTCACGGCCACTCGTGAAGCGTCAGATCTACTGTACAGCCATGAGCGAGCGGCAGAGACAGAGGTAAGTGTTTACCTTTTTGGTAATTTTTGAAATGTATTTAAATGTTTTTGCATACATCCACTGCTTGCTAGCGGTAGATATATGCAAAAAAAAGGAGAGTTTAATTCTTCTTTAACTCGTGAGTTTAGTGTCACTTTAAATAGATGGTTTTAACAAATGTTGCAATATGGCCTGTAAAAAACAGTGTTTTAATGCACAACACACAAGTCTAAATGGGGAACTGTGAAATCCTATTCCACAATGGGAATCTCTTATATTTCCCTGCCAACACCATTATTACCACTCACTATCCTTAAAGTAATACTTGGGCATTAATGGAAAGTAACAATTCTTTAAGATGAGAACTAAAAAGTTTCTTATAGTAACGGGTCAAAATTGGGTGATTGGAAATGTTTACAGCTTCTTCATAGCTGGATCACAATTATCGCAGCCCCCACCCAAGGGTAAGCACCCCCCCCCAAGGGTCAGCATAGCAATCAAGCATCAAAGGAAGCCTCCATATGCTTATCAAGTCAGATATACTTTAAAAACATAAAGTTTTCCTGACGGATCTGAAGATCTTCATCAGGTCTTCTGACAACAGAGTGGGCTCATTATCCGCCATGGGGTGTACTACCATCAGATTATCATCAGCAATGCTCAAAAGGGCCGATTCGCTTGCAGAAGTCTAAGCGCATATCTAAAGAAAGAAATCGCTATCTTCAAGTTACGTTGTAGTGTTCCTTGTTGCACACTTCTTGTTTTGAAGCCTTTGTCCTTTCCTTTCTCATGTCAGAAATAACGAACACCAATTTAGTAAACATTTACATAAATCACTTTATTGAAGGCTGGCACAATTCTTTTTAAAAAAAATCATAAAAACAAGCCAGCGTTGAGAAATATGAAGATGAATGTAGAGTTCACATATGAATTCACATATGAATGTGAAGATTCTGCTTATCTGGGAAAGTATTAAAAAAAAAGGTAAAGATTTATGATGTAAAGTCATCTGTCTCTGCGTTATCTGTTCCTTGTGAAAGAAGTACGGAGCTTCTGGTTTATCGAATAGATGGCACTACACAAGACATTTCCCAAGTTACTATGAATTACAGCTGTTTATCTTGCAGGCTTTCTTTAAGATTAATTAAATGCAAATGTAACTCCGTGAATCATGGGAATACCTGCCAGACCTCTTATTAATACCTTCACTTAAAAACCTCTGTGCCAGAGAGTCATTAATTTGCAAAAAAGAAAAAAAAAACTGTTCTACAGCGGCCTCGTCGCCTGCAGAACAATTCATGGATGGCTGCCCAATTAGCCCGGTCGCACTCTGATCCTCCTCTCAGGCCCTGTGGCCCTTTGAGGACACAATACGGTTCCGATGATAACCTGGCAACATAGGTAGAAACCCAGCCAAGTGTGAATGTTTGAAGCTGTAGCTTGGCTGCCATCGCGGCGGCGAAGAAAAAAGAGAGGAGCGCAGGCACTGTGTCATCCAGTACAAAGGATAAAAAGAGATTTATCCGGAAATTCGATGTGGCACCACATATGGGATACATGACTGCGGTAATACAACAGGACTTTTTTTTCCCCCTTCGCTCTCCTGCATGTGAGGCAGAGGACATGTGCAGCTATCTCAACCTCCCTGGGAACGTATATATCATTTGAGCCAGGGTGGTGGCAGAGATGATGGGATCGATCTGCCACAGGTTTGTGGCAGATGGCCCTGTGTCAGCTATGACAAGCAGCCAGTCTTTGCTTCCTACGCAGATTTTTTTTCTCTCTTTTTCTCTGATCAGGTAAATACTGGAACGTTCTGAAAAAGTTCGACAAATTCCGCCTGAGGCTGCAAGTTTGTGACTTAGCCCCATCTGTCACAAATCTTCGCTGGGTTGTGCTGAGAGGAGAGACCTGAATTCACTGTTCAGTGCTGCCCAGGAATACGGCACCGTCTCGCCCTGCGGAAAAAAAAAAAAAGAGAATAAGGCGACTTGAAAAAAGATATTAACTGTTCGGTGATGAGGAAGCTTTGTCCTGAAAAATGAGCAATTTCTAAACATGAACATATTGCATTAGTGTGTATTTACATTCAAAGGCTATAAATAATACATCATTGTTGTGCCAGAGTTATGAATAACATATACACAGGACTATATTATTGTGGAATAAGGAATGCATACGTTTAAAATTGCGGAAAATGAGCAGGAACCTATGTGGATAGGAAATGGTTATTGGGATGCACCAGTAGCTGAAAATGTCTGTACATATATATTCTACGCATACAGGCATGATTTAATATCTGCTTCAAGCATGATTCATCAATTCTGAACCCAAATATACCAATGTAATCTCATGCGTATTATAGGTAAAAAATAAAACGAACAGGAGCTTAAACTTTGTTTCTTTTTCTTTTAAGAAAATGTAAACTCTAACCAAATTACCTGCTAAAGAACAATGCATCATTAATAATCTCCATGTGTTTTTCTATTAGAAAAATAAGATTTCTGTACGTATTAATTGTTACTTATAATGTACTATTTACTTTTTCTTAAAGCCCATTAAAGTACAGAGGAATGATAGGAACTCTTAAACAGTCAGGTTAATGGGAAACGAAAAACGTTAAGCCAGTCCCATTATGACCCCACCTCCAACCATCATGCTCCAGTTTTTTAAGCAAGCAGGACATGAGTCAAAACCACAGAGGGGTGGATACCAGTGTTCCTCGATGGACTTATTTTTTATCCAACAAGTGACCCAGGAGTGATAGGGATGCTTAAAAAGTCTGGATTTCCAAAATGTGTTCAACTGAGGAGTGGGCAAGCCACTAAATGATCCAATATACGTGAAGATAATAATACAGAAAGAGTATCTGAAGAGATCAACACCCAAGCAAAAGTCAAATGAAGAAGTCCTAACCAATATGGAAAGTGCAGCAACCAACTTGAGAGCACCAAGTCCCATACCAGGACAGAGAATCATTAACTTTTTAAGAAGCATTGGCTACCTGGCTCCTGAGATTTGGCCAGTCCTTTCTTAAAAGATATTTATGAATATGAGAGTCCTCACAACATGAAATCTAAATAGAGAGAAGGGAAAGGTACCCTCGAGCTGGGAAAAGGTGAAGGGTATTTATCTTTAATCTATTTAAAGAGAAAGCGGGGGTGATTAACAACACTAAATTACCAATTGAGATAGAGGTACAGCCTGACCAATTGCAGCATCAGAATGGACACTGTTAAGGGTAGGCCCAAAAAGACACGTGAATCAGATGTTGCATGGGCATATCCTCGATGTCCTAGGCATGTAGCCAAAGTGACCTATGGATATGAACCGACATTACTCTCATGTGAGCTTATATGAGCTTATATGCTTGTAAGAGGCCATCACAGCTGAAACACAGAGCTCCAAAATTTTTTTCCAGGATCTCAAGAACACAAGGGTTTGCCCTAGTGCTGAAGGGGTCTGCGATAAGGGATTTGATCCATAGTGACGTGCTTTCACAAATCAAGGCCACCCTCTTCAGTCATACTAGTTAATTTAAACTGAGACCCAAGTAGGGAGTCCAATTGTCCCTCAGTGAAATCTCTAAAGGTAAAAATACCATAAACCTGTTTGGTGGTAAGCTTGTTAAGGTGTATGACAGGAGTGGTCAATAGTGGGCAGAGGCCACTTAACTCCTTCACATTGTAAGAAGGGACCCATGATTCTATAGGTTGTTTCCAGTTTAAATACTGAATGTATTAGGAAGGTTTTTACAGCTGTGAGAGCTCTAAAAGACCCTAGACCTGGAACAGCAGGCTGATCCTCCAAATGCAGGGTAGAATGTACTGCATCAATGAGGTTACAAACAACTTTTAAATCTGAGTCATATGAGATTTGCTAATATACAGTTTATTCAGTATTAGACTGCAAGGACTCTGAATCTGAATTAGACATAGTAATAGGGGCCTCAGGCACACTTTGATAGTGCGCCTGAGCGTGCTTACAGCCTATGCAAGCAGATTGCTCCATTAATTGTGCATACACGGACATAAAATCCAAAATAGACATAAGGGGTCTTGTGGACAAAGGAAAGGTCTTAGAATCACCCGACGGAGTAATAGAAGACTTTAAAGGAGGATGGTTTCCTCTAGTAATAGCGGCCCTAGAATCTATGTTACAGGCATCGGTTCCTTGTGAGAATACCAAGATAAGCCTCTAGAACCAGTAGAGGCTGAAGTAACCTGTTGCAATGGGACTGTCCTCTGTATGCCTTTGAAAAGACATATTGTACTGCATAGTGGAAAACAGCTAGGCCCCAAGTGAGGAAATAGCCTGCATACTCACAAATCCAAGCAGCTGGAGCTGATGAGGGTTGCTGGTGGCTGGATGTGACCAAGTCCCTGTAGGTGGACAGTGGATTGAAACCAGAGACCAGATGATCCATGGGGTGCTTCAGATACAGAAGCAGCAGTGGGATGCTACTACCTCCAATTTATGAATTGAAGGAGAAAAAGCGCAGAGCATGCACGCACAACATCCCACCTAGGATGGCATCAGAATCCAGTCCTTGAGAAGACCATTATAGTGGTAAGATGTCAGTGGCGGGACATTTAAAATGGTGCCCACTGTGAGGTAGCTCCCAGAACCTTAGCCTGACCAACCATAGTATGCATGCGTGTCCTCAGAGATTGGGCCACACCATAGGTTGTGCCACAGCTCTGGACCCGGAGAGTGCTCTTCAGGCGAAGGTCTGGAAAGCACCACATTGCCGAGCCCAATGCCTAAAGATCACATTCTAGGCTAGCCCAACAAACTTCAGTCCAGCAGTGTTTGGGTACGGCCTCCAATGTTGTTGCTAAGGCTACACCGATCCAGAGAGCTGCAATACACTGATCCAGAGAGCTGCTGTGTAGAAACTAGCTTAAGCACTGTTTTTTTATCAAAGTCACCAAAGAAAAAAATGTCTACGGTATACTAAGTAGTTAAAAGAAAGTAGTTGAAAGAAAAATAAAGCAAAAAATATGAATAAAAAGGGAAGGAAAACTCTAGATGGAATTTCTCACTTCCTGTAAGCAGCAGTATAACCCAACTGTTTACACATTTCTCTGATTCGTGTCTCTCAAGGGACAATAAAAAGAACACTGTTTCAACCTTTTTTTCCCCAGTGGTACTGATCTCCTGCAGTCTCTTTTCATCCACTTGCTGCCTAGATGTATTTGCTTCAGCAGTGGTTGCAAACTTTTTCTCAGAGAAGATTTTCTGGTGGTGACAACATCAGAACATGCATGAGCAGAGCTACCTATAGTCTGTGAAGATGGCAAAAGGTAGCAAATGTTATGCTCTCTGAAGGCTCATTTTTACAGTAGCGGTTAGGCTGCACACAACAGCTGGATGGCTTAGAGGATGGAAACACCTCCTTCCTTTCTCCCTCCCTCACGGGAATGGGATTGTTTCATGGTCTTATGTATAAAAAAATATATACCAACAAGAAAATATCTTGCTGCCTTTAGTTGGCAATTAGCTTTCAAACGTTATTTTTGCAGTGCAGAGTTGATAATGAAACAAAGATTCTGATTGGTTGCTTTTAGGAAACAAGAAATATTCTTCATATCATTTCTACATAATCCTTTTAAGGAAGAACTTCAAGATGTTGAGATGTGAAGCTGTGGGGCAGGGAAGTGTAAGTGCATCTAACAATAGATTCAACTTTAAAAGAGAACTATGGGGTAAGTGTTTTTCCCCTTAGTTCTTTTAAGGGTCATGGAAGGACATAAGCTAACCTCCTCCCGTGACCCAAAGCTCAGTATATAGAGAGCTACAGCTCGCAGTATACTGAGACCGCCTCAGCCGGGACGGATCCCAACAATGCTGTCGAGATCCACCCAGTGGCGTGAATGACAGCTGGCTGTGCCCGCCCCCTTCCCGTCCATTTCCCCAGTCAGTGCTGGAGGATCAGAGCGGGGAGGGGGGAATCCCTGTGGGGAGTGGTGACTGACAGCCACCGCTCTCTGCAGGGAGATGATCGACAAGTGAGCGAGCGACGGTATGCGTTTGCTCACTTCCTGATCTATTGAGCCGACATGTGACATTTTCATTGTCACACGTCGGCTCGAAATATGAGGATCAGTGATTTTGACTCAGCTGATTTTGAAGTCACAGAAATAGGTATGCAGTTAGGTTGAAAAATTGTACCAAGAGCCTCTATTATCATAGTCTTACCCCCATTTACAGCAGCTGTACAGGGACAATAAATATTACTGAATTGACAAAAAAAGGTTTGGCTGGAACTCCATTTTATAGCTAAACTCCAGGCAGATATTAAAAAATTAATTAAGCACTATTTTTATTAAAAAAAAAAAAAAAAACAACCATTAAATTCAATTTGAATGCAATTAGCAAATTTGCTTGAATAATAACTTGGTATCGGACCAATCAGGTGACCGGCATTAACATATGCTGATAACTGTATGCTGGCAGGCAGAGGGAGTAGTGACAGAGAGATGACCTTATCATTCTGTTGCTGCTGATTCATTATCCAATCACAGGTGTGGGTATGCGTATTGCAGAAAAAGGGGCGCTAGCTGTGTTGCTTAATTAAACCAGAGAAAAGTAAGGTCACCATGCTTGCTGTGATGTCGGGTAGAGCTGTGTAAATCTCAGGCCTGGACGCACAGAAATATAAACCCTCAGGGCAGGTAAGACAGTTATCATATATTCATTTTGAAAATGTATTCAGCTGTTTGAAGATCAGTTTTAGGACATCAAAGCCCAAACCCCCCCGCCCCCCCCCCACACACACACAAAAGCCCCCCCCCCCCACACACACACAAAAGGTGGATATCCTCTATTACAAAAATAGAAATATGGAGCAGGCACAGAGGTCATCAATAAATGAAAATAATTTGCAGTCTATGTAAAGTGTTTTATTAAAAGCAACAAGCAGCCGGGAAGCCTCATTTAGCTCCTATATCACTAC